TGAATATCTAAGACATTTAACTCATCTGGAGATGAACTCTAGTAAAATGAATGAAATAAACCCCAATGCTTAGGATACCTGGAAATTCCAGATAATAAATGCTGTCATTTGTTGCCATTTACTGCTAGAATTTACTAAGCATGGAAGAAATTAAAGTGTATGCACTTATTGGAGTTTATTTTTAAATGTATACAAAAGTAAAAACACACAGAAATATTTTTTTTCCCTTTGCCAGAATTTTTTAAACAATACCACCAGCTGTTCAATTCCTTATTAAGAATACTTATGGATCTGGACAAAGTTACACACTTGCCCTTGGAAAGCTACAAGATAACATATAAGGAAAGGCAGGCATAAGAGTAAATAAACTACAGTTCTGTGATATCTATGTGCTATATATCACCCTTTCCTATTTTAGCACTTCCTTCTTCTCTTTTCAGCCTTCATTTAATTGTTTTATTTCCTATTTCTACACATTCTATTTCTCTCTTTTCCAGACTTTCTCATTTAATAATAAAGTAATAATAAAGTAATCAGGTCCTTCAAGAAAACCTGTTGTTGTCATCAATTTTTTCTGAATTCCAGCGAACTGTTCATCCATCCATCCATCCATCCCTCCCTCCCTCCCTCCCTTCTGAATTCCCTGTGTTCTCTCCCCTCCCACTCTTCTCTGTATACATAAATGTGCACTGGACTTTCTGGTATTCTCTGGCATTGTTTTCCTGTAGTCTTGTCCAAGCCTGCCACCAGCTATATCAGATATTAACAAACTTTTCTTCTGAAAAGTCTTGACTCAGAGTAGAACAGTTATCAGTGAATTTTCAGGAAAAAAGGGAATTAATACAGAGAATACATGTAGCTCAGTTTTATGTAACGTTCCCAGAGAGAAAGAACCAGCTCAGATAATATAGATTTGTATTTTAAAGAAAAGTTTTTTCAATATAGAAAATACTAGTTCTAGTGTACAAAAAGAAAAGCTGCAATTCTGGATTTCCAAGCCTAAGATCAAATACTAAGAGATATTAAAATTGAATGAAATTATATTCTCATCCTATATATGAATACATGAATCCAGGAAAATAAAATTATGTCTGTTACTAGGCAAGCCTTTTTAACTACCTGGTAAATCTGAAGAACCTACTTTTAGAAAAAACTTAAAAAAAAATACCAAAATAAACCTCAGACTTTGAAGACTTGATTTCTGCATGGTTCACTGTATAGAACGTGATGCTTACTGGGAGAGAAACTATGGAATATTTTGTTCTTTTCTCCTTTAACATGAATGACACTACTAACTACACAGTTTACAATCTCTCAAGACAGAATGACTAAATTCCTTCTGTGTTTTGGTGGCAATCTAAACAAGTAACTCTTTGTTTCACAGATTTTATCTCCTGGACCATTCTATAAATGAATACAGGGGGAGAGGAGGTATAATGTCTACTGTGGAAAGAATCCATTGATTTCAGGTGCCTGGCTGAGTTTTCAGACCACTTTGCTTTACACACACTTCATGCAATAATGAAATTCATTGCATGCTGCAGAAGTCATACATTCCAGAGAGGTACACATATAATGATGAACTAATAATTAGCAAGTACGACTGCAGTGTATGCTTTAAGTTGGTCAGCAATCACATGAGAAGCACATAAGGGAGGGAGGAATGGAATCCAGTGCTCTGGCACCACATTGAGCTGTCATAAGCAGGAAACCCTCCTCCTCCATCCTACCATTCCATTTACCGTGCTCTTTGTAGCCAGCAAAACTGAGACAGGCCCTAGAACAGAGGTCCTGTGTGAAAAGTTAAAGTGCTTTTACTGTTCAGATGTGACTCATCAGTACAGCAGAGATGAACATAATATAGAAGTCCAGTGGAAAAGACAGCACATTACCATCTAAGATTGTAGATTGGTCCTAGCTTGCTCTTAGTTTGCTCCTTGGCTCCTGACTGTTCTAGTTATTCTTCTCCAAGACAAGGCCTATAAGCAGCCCTAGGACCAGCTGAATGCTCTCAAAATACTATGGAGAGACTGCACAAAGATCGGACACTTCTGCAATACACATTATTATAAAACTATTTAAACTTTGCACTACCAAAATGCTGCTCTAGCCTTTGTGCTCCACTTCATCACATTCAACACGTGTTCACAATATAAAACATCACTGTGGTGGGCTGTAATGCAGTTCTCACTTTTCATTTTTTAGATTCTTTGAATTAAAAAGCATCAAGTAATAACTATGTTTTAAGAGTCACAGACTCGGTCAAATAGTATGTAATGCATATACAGTCAGTCTGATTTAGAAAGAATTAGACTTAAGTAGGGTGGAGTGGACATGAGCTAGCCTGTGACACAGTCTCAGAGAATGGTCCCTGCTCAATGGGTCCATTTCACAGAACAGCCACAACTACAGCAAAACGATTTAAGATTTCACAGTCATTCTTAATTCTGACACTTCCTGGCTTCTAAATACTTGCAAATCTTATGTTCTTTTAAGACAGCTTTTTAAGTCTTACATACACCTAAACAAGAAGGCCTAACATTAAAATACAGGCATGTTCACAGATGGACAGAAGTTAAATGTGTCGATCAGAATTTAGATTTGCCTACAGCTTTGATATAAAGCCTATGCTTTGATATATATGCTTAGAGCAGATATATCTGGCTCTACATCCTCTAGAGCTTTCCTAGATCAAGATGGAATATCATATGATCAAACCTTGATCAGTCCATGCACTACAGGTGAGCTACACCAACCATAATTAAAGGCAGGAAAATGTTGATGCCTTCAACTTGTTCATTTTGTTCCAAAGTCACTATATAATTTTTTTAACCTCATAAATAAAAAATAATTTCCATACTAGTATTCCTCACACACGCTTATTGTCCTTTTTTTATTTTCAGTGAGAAATTATTTAACTGTTTAATATTTTGTTATACTTTGATGGTGAGCAAAATGTCTCTTCTAAAGACAGAGTTCAAGTAAATAGAACTTCAATAATGGACTTCATAATGAATCCTCCAGAAAGAAACAAAGCCATGCAGTGGTTTCATTTCTAAGTTTTCTCAACACTTCATACATATATTAGCCAACTTTTCCAGTTACAGTCTCTGTCTCTACAACCTTTGTCTCCCTTTTCTTTTTCCCTGACTCAGCTCGTTTTTAGAATGGTGTCTTCTTTTGGCATATGGTGAAAGGTGTTTCATAAACTGGGGGTAATAGCAGGTACTCATATGGAGAAAGCAGATAGAGTTTTTAACATGAATTATAGCTACAATGAAATACTTATTCCCTAAGCATAAAGCTCAGTGAAAACAAGTGACCATAGTATATCCTCATACTAAGCTGAAAGTAGAGAAAAGTGCCTGGTTTAGCCACCATAACCTACCAAAGAAATCTACCCCCCCCCCCCCCCCCCCCCCCCCAAAAAAAGTTTCAAATGAATAAAAGTATGCAGTTTTCAGAGATTCACAAATCTTCCCTTAAAAGTTAATTAATTAAGCCAAAATGTTTTAATCTAGACAAGTGCCTACTCCTTCAGAGCCAATTATTTTTTCCATTGTATATAGTAAAGTCTGTGAAATGACCATGACCTGCATGACAAAAGAGCCATGGCTAAAATCTTGTCTACCTAAATCAAAGGGAGTTTTCCCATGACTTCAAAAAGATCATAAACTCATTGCCATCATAAAACCAGGATTTGGCAGTACTCATAAGGTGCTGATACTTGGAACTGTCTTCTGCTATAAGCTAGGCACTTCCCCTCTTTATATTTCTTCTTTAAAATGTTTCTTTTCCTACCAGACTCACCATTAACTAAAATAGTAGTTAAAAAAGCAAGCTGTCACTCAGAAATCCAACAAATGAACAATAAAAATATTGGAGAAAGTTGGCACCTTCCTCTATTTTATTTCAAGACTTTCTCTATTCAGTGGCACAGAAGAGAATTTGTGCTGTCCTTTCTGTATTACATATGGCTAAGCAAACAGCTGTATTTAAACAGCAAATGACTACTAATGGCAGGTTCCAGCAGAAAGATGAGTCAAGATGGTTCTAAAGATGAAAACCTCCAGTAGCCATAAAAAAAAAAGACAAACATTTGGTCCAAAGGTTCTTTAAAAAAAATATGGTATCTTCCTCTTGTGACAGGCAGCGCACAGTGCAGAAGAAACTGAAATTCTGAGGTGGATTTAAAGCATTCTCCCATATCTTCTGAAACTGAGGTATGCTGGGGAGATGATGAGTTCAGTCTCCAGAGAGAAGAGCGATACTGTTCCCACAGCACTTCTACTCACCAGTCCTTGCAGCAGCAACGGTGTTGGCTTTGAAGGAAGCCAACTGTCCTGCTCTCCCAGTCAGAAGTAAAGAATTGCATTGGTGGCCACTAGAGGGAGGATTAGGAATATAGTAAATTGTGGGCAAAAGGCACCCATGATGAATCATATGGGACTATGTACAAATCCCCCATAGCTGCCAAAGGGTAACAATTCCCAGACACTACTACGGGGTGGGAAGTATAACCCAGTTGTTATTATCCACTATAGAGGAGCTGCCAGTATGCATCCTAAACTTTGGTGGCTGGAGGATAGGAGAGCTGACTAGGATTATGTGAAGCATACCTACAAAGACACATCCCTTTATTTACAGTTGCCTTATTTGCCTTCTGGTTTTTAATCTCCTTACTTAAAACTTCTGATGTCCTTTATCAAGAAAGTTCCTGTGAAAAGCAAACATACCAGCTTCAAGAGAATCTCAGAAGAAGCACCAGCAGAGAGAGACACACTGTGCCAATATACACTGTATTTAACAAAAACATCTGAAGGTATTAAATGTACTTGAAAACAACAAAATCCGTTGTCATAAAATAAATGTTCTTTCACTAAATTAAGGTTCGAGACATGTCTGAAAGAAACATTTTCAATTAGTTATCTAGATAATTCTGTAGTAAAGTATATCTTGCAATTTGGTTTACCCTGTGGCTTGACTGCCTGGTGTCTTACCTCCAGCACAAGTGGCAGAACATTCTGACCAAGGCAGATGATTCCATGCAAAGCCAACTTCATTGTCTCCACTGCCAGTGCGAGAGATGGGAACATTGAATTTATACCTTATACCCAAATTTTGTTCCTGTAGCAGAATCTGTAGTTGAAAACAACTGGTTATACCATTAAAACAGGCAAGCAGAGGGCAACTACAGTGACATTTAATCTAGGTATGTGTTATGTTCTGTGGAAGTGAAAAAAAGTAATAAAGGAAGCCATAGTAGTTCTTTTAGGTATCCCCAAAAGAATCTGGACTAACTTTTAAAATATATACAAAAGAAAAGTATTATTGTCTGAGGTGAGCTTTGTCTTTTTTTCCCCCTTAACACAACCTTATAACTTCTGTCAGTTCTTTATTCTTGACATAATTGTTCTAAAAAGTCAGTTTTCATAAAATTAATGTCTTAATGGAAATTAACTTCACAGCTGAATAATTATGTGAGGTCAAAGTTGGTTAAGGACATCACTGCGCAAACATGCAGCAGTCCGCAGTCCTCACTGAAATCTTGTGAGGAGCTACCCACATAGCAGCTATGAACCTAGCTCTGCTCTTGTTTGCACTTCTAGTGACTATAATAATAGTAATAACAGTAACAGCAACACTGTGTTGCTGAGGTCATTGTTTCCCCTAACACAACAGCCAACAGCACAAGCTACGTAAAATCACGCCTGTGATTCCTTTAAAGGAGTATCAAAACTCTTGCTGCAGCCATATCACTGCAGGTGGTATAGACGGAAGTGCAACAATCACCATGAGTTTTTGTCTACCCTTGCTGTTGAACTGCACTTCCACGTGCCATCCGTCCAACACTAGCCTTTGACTCTCTATCAAGCTTTTTCTTTCTGTTGCTAATATATATTATGCTAGATGCAGCAATCTGACACGTTGGAGCTACTTCTGCCTTCTGTGATATTTTGCAGAGGTGTATCTGTCTATCTCCATTGGACGAAAAAGCAGAGAACTTTCAGTAAGAAAGTCAGTGGCACTGACTCAGTGAGAAAAGGCACTATAATTGTTGTGGAACTCATCCTATATGGACTCTCTAGCTTATCCACATCTACAGCAGAAAAAATAGGATTCAGGTGTTTGAAAATGCTGCCTAAAACATGAACATCCAGGCCACAATCATTCTATGACAAAAATGCCCCATCTGGCTCAAGCAATCCCTGAACTGCAAATCTGGCAGCTGACAGAACGTACTGGGCAAGTATCATCTTGTTCTTATACTTGTCCTCAACACAGCAGTGCAACAGTAGGCTCACTATTGCCTGCTGTCAGAGACAGGGTATCAGGATCATGGTCACATCTTCTGTTACATTCTCATATTTTGTACAATTTGTTCAGAGCAATGTATGTCACAGCAACATACTTTAACACAGGTGAAATCATGATACTCTTGCTGTGGTAAAAGTATACTCAGGCCAGGCTTAAAACCACTGACATCTACAGAACTGCCAGGAGCTGTCATGCTGTATCTCAACACTTCCATGTATCAGCAGTGTGTGGATACACAATACACACCCCATTTACAATTTTGTCTAATATTAGTCTGAACCACATTTAACAGACATGAGACATTTTCTGTGAGATTTCCTGGGGCTGTTCTGACTTTATCCTTGTTTCATCACAATGTTTGCTAGTTAGTTTTGAAAGGTAAGAAAGCTGTGTTAAAACACAAATGCAAAGTCCCAGCTAGGCCAGGTGTACACTCTTTGAAAATACAAGCTGTTTTGATTTCATTCATGACCTTGTCTTTTCTCAGGACACAAATACATATTTCAAATTTCAGAAATATATTAATTATAACTTTACCATGACTATGAGATTTTCTGAAGTAGGGCCTAGTGCTTCCAATGACTCTGGTTCATCTGTTGGCCTCTTGTAATGGAAAGCTGTTCCAGCAACATCAAACTTTCTTGGCCAGTCAATAGTCCAGGCACCATTAATATAGTAGTCATCCTCTTCAGATTTTAAAGCTTAAAAAAAAATACAAGCCACCTAAAAATTGGAAGCAGCATTTATAATGGAGAAGCCATTGCAAATTAATCTAATAATCTGTTAGAAATATGTGAGCTTCAGCTCAATATCACTATTTTTTCAAGCAATATAAAGACTTTTCTTTAGCCCTGGTCAAAATCTCTCTCATGCAGTTTGACAATATTGCCTCTGCAATAATCTTCAATGTGCAGGTATACTTTGCAGATTTCAACATGTGGATGCTATATGGAATAAAACAGAATGCCTCATGCAACTTCCAATGTATCTTCACCTTTGAAACCCAGCCCATGTGCAATGTATGCTGTTCTACATAAGATATATGTAGGTCTCAAATGTATAATCAATTATCAATCTAATTAAGATTAAGAAGTTGGGGCATGGGATAGGCATCTCAGATAATGTGCAGAGGAAAAAAAGAAAAGGAACGTTGAGTCTGATGTATGGTGCCAATCAGCTCTTGCTTTGTTGCCTTTGTCCACTGTTTGTTGGGTTTTTTCTTTTTAAAGCATAAATTCAAGCTATTTCTACTACAAACCCAAATACTAACTACTTAATCTAATAAGATATTTTATTATTCCTAATTTACAACCTTATCCATAAAAGTTCTGTAGGTAAAACATAAATTTCTTAGCTAACCAACCGATTAGGCTGGACAAGCACATCTTATTCAGGTATTTATATTTGATATTTTATCAATAATATTAGATTAAGTTTCTAAATGCGAAACTGACTTTGTATCTTAAGGTGAATATTCTATTAATTAGATATTGACTTCTTGACTTAAGATGAAGATTACCAAGTTATTCAGCATTCATAGTTACTTTAAATAAAACCTGCTATTAAAGGCAAAACTATGGAAATACATGAACAAACAGCCATGTCATTTTTTGTTGACACAAATAACTGACTTTACTAGATAGGGAACAAATTCACATCACAATCATAAGGAATAATACAACTTACAATCAAATTTTGTTTTCAACTACATCTGTGTGGACAGATGGTTTACCTTAAACAGTTAGGGAAAATGTCTCCATGGTGCTTAAATTTCCTAAAACTGCTCAGAGAGCAGGAGATACTTGGAGAGGCAGTAATGTTCTGTTGGTGACAGCCATATTCAGCAGGGATTAGTAACCATTTCCATCAGCATCATAAGGTCTGAAAAGGCATGTCTTTCCATAGCATAGAACTTATTTTGTTGACGTCCTTAGATTTACTTTGGAAACTCATGCTTTGAGTAAAGAAACTAGCTCTCACACATTCACTTATCTGGAATTCTCAAAGTAATTCAGACTCCTTATTGTTATATAGGTTATGAAGTACAAGAAGCAGATGGTAAAAAAAAAGTACCTATAAGATAGCAAAACAAACTGCAAGCAGTACTGTACTAAAAGAAAGGACAGTACTTCGCTAATTATTTTATGCAGGTATATGAAATAGCTACATTACAGTTGATCATCAGTATTTTGTTTTATCAGTGATCTGATTTCCACATAGCCAAAATTTCTATCCATCCTGCTTCTACAAAATCTAGCTTAATTAAAAAAAGGTTGAGGAGTCTCCTAATACTACTGAGACATATTAAAGTCTTACTTACTGTGCCACTCAATTTCAAACATTTTCTTGTCAGTATGTCTAGCAATTACCAAGAGCAAATAATGAAGTGAATTCTTTATTTATATTGAGACATATGAACAACAAATGAGATCTATAAATGAGAAGAGAACAAATGTTCTCATACATGTTTATGTAATTAATAATTCTGAAATTACATGCTATCAATTGAATGTATGCTATTTACACTTAAACTAATGTATATCCAGAAGCAAAGCAGTTCATTTTTTACCTGACTGTCAAAGAAAAATGCATTTGCATTCTGTACATAGATTTACCTAATGTCAGTTGTTATGCATAGGTGAAGGCCACACAGTTGTGAATAGCATTCCAATAATATAATTACATGACAATGATGACACAGTGGCATAATGCTAGTAGCATATGAGACAGAAAGAGTAAGTTAATATCCTAATCAAATCATTTATGAAAATTTGAGAATGCAGGAAGCCCACAGAAAATTAGCACACAACACCCTGTTGCATAAGGGGAATATAAGAGAAGATGTCACCCTCGATCAAGCCATTTAAAGGAAGATAACAGCATTACTAAACACACATTTTTTCAGCAGCTCTGAAAACAGGCAATTTTGTTGTTGCTGGGTTATTGTTGGACAGATTAGTTTAAAATACTGATTTATTTATGCAGCTGCAGAAACGTGCTTTTGCTATCACAGCACTAGGAGTGATACTGGTGCAGAAATGATCAGCCAAAGTCAGGGGGAGGGAAGACAAGTGCTGAGTGAGCCAACTGAATTGACAAATGTCTAACTGCAGCCTAAATTTAAGGCCATGGCTTGCAAAATAACTGGATCTTAGTTTAAGGAATGATGGGATGTTTGTTGCAAGCTAGTTTGAAAGCCGTCTAACTGAAATGAACAAAGAAGAAACTCTGAAGCCAGTGTGACAGCTACAGAGAAAAAGGGTGTGTTTTTTTTCCTTTTTTGTATACTTCCAAATGAATAAATTGATTTCTTAGACTGTGGTCACATATTTGGCAGCAGTGCACATAAAACAAAATATAGTATTATGTGTAAATGGTTATTTTCAGCTGAATCAGTTCTCTAATCTGGGTCATGGTGTGGCCACACAAACAGCTGTCCTGGAACAACAGAGAGAACTCCATCAAGACAGGAAAAGAGCTGTGAAGTTGATACTGCCATTAAAGAAACAGCCATAAAACAACACCCTTGAGGTATTTATTTTAACAGCATAAACTAATTTTTAACTACTATTGTGCTCGTATAGTTCTTTTAAGGTAGCAGACACAGTTTCCACAGAAACTGGTGATCCTAAAACAGTGATCTGGTTCACACTTACAGAACAAAACATTCCATCACAAAATGAAATGGCCCCTGCAACTTAGTATGATTATCTTTCATTAGGATATAATGGCACCTTTGAAAGTTGGAAACACAGGAAACTAGTGAAGGAGAGGAATCCCGCATTTGTGTAGTCAGGGCTTCTGTGGCATGAAGCAAGGTAGAGAGGAGAGAGCCTGAAACTCAGGAAACCCCTTGACAAGCACATAAAGAAGTGTTTATGTACCACTTTACATTTTTAGATCTATGGCCAAATTAAATACCAATGAAGTTGCCTGTATTCTTTTATTTAAGCCAAAACCTTTACATTTTTCATTCATTTGATGGTGCCAATCTAAATGCATTTCCAGATCACTTTCCTCTGCTTATAAAACAGGGGAATAACAAACTTAATTGCCGTAGCTAAGATTTATCTTCTTTGTTCTAGTTTTCAGCTGCCCATGGAATAGTTCTTAGCAGAAAACGACCATGACAGGATGCACTGTATGCCTCTCTCCCACCACCTCTGAATTGTCAGTGTAGGATATATGAACAACCTTACCCGCAGTGTATTTTGACATGAGGGAGAGGCCACGGGGAGTATGATGCTGAAAGAGTAATAAGCACTCTACTGCTGGAGTAGTGGTGTTACTATTCCTGCAGAATGGAGGGAGACTGATTATCTGCTGAATTACAGAAGGGTGCGGACAGGCAGAAAGAAAAGTAGGCATCCAACAGTAAAAGGTACCATTATTATCAATATAATCAATTTAGGAATTAATGTACCTAGGAAGATAATTACCCTTCTAACTCACACTTACAGGCATCATAATCCTTTCCAACACGTCAGTGTTATATATATCAAATACATGGAGTACAGATTGACAAAAGTATCCTCGTCAGCTGCTGTTCAGCCTAAACAGGCAACAGTTTTTAGTTGTGTTAATCTTTTAGTTTGCTGTACAACTAATCAGCTCTCTGATCTATTTTTGACTAAGAAATGAGTGTTCTCGCACTACTGTGAAATGACTGCTATGCAAATCAGGGTACAGACACTTTCAGAAATGCATGTTTTCTTCAGGTCAGTGAAGCCAGATTTGTACATATCAGTATTAAAAAAAAAAAAAAAAACCAACAAAAAACCAAAAAAACAAATCAGAAAGTAAATTTACCTCAGACTTTAAAGAAAGAAATAATAATCTGGGAATTTGAGTTTAATTCTGTGCTTTACAACAGGCTTCCTGAATGATCTTAATTAAGCACCTAGTTTTTCTGCACCTCATTTTACCTTTCTATAAAACAGGGATGGCATCTAGTCCCTACAAGACAGCAACACAGAAACACTCTGGAATTAATACATTAACTTGCCTTAAGATAAGAAGACAGTATTGTTAGTATTTATGTAACTATGGCTGTTGATAAATAATCATTCCAAGAATAAAACTGTGTTTTAAAAGAGTATAATTCCCCAAAATCAGAGACTTCCCAGATGGAAGACACTACATCAGAATGGGACAGTATACCATCTGAGTGCTCCTCATCCACTTCAGCTCAAGTCTGACACTGTAACCATAGTGAAGTTGACCTGATTTTGCACTGACTGGACAAGGAGGAATTATATGATGTATTTCATTAGCTCCATCCAAGAGAATACATCCTAACCAACTACTCCAACTGTCTGACCACAACCTAATATTAACAGCTAACAATTCCCTCTGCTGCTTCTACTATGTGTATGGTTTGGCCAAACCAGAAAATGTACCTTCAAATCACAACATGAACTCTGACTTTTTAACAGTCTGCTATTTAAACCATGTTCTTACCAATGTAGTTCTTTGACATTGCCACTTCTCTTATTTCAATGTGCACAGAACCTCTTGGAATTTGAATCACTTCCATATAGCCTATAAAACCAAGGTAAATTTTATTTGTTGTTGTTTATGTTAATCAGTATTAGTTACGAAACTAACCATTAAAAAATTATGTACTGCTAAAAATTAGTATGAGATATGGGACTCAAATGTACTCGAGCATTTTCTTTCATGTGATATAAAGGAAAACTCTTTACATGTCATAAAAAAATTTGAACGTGATAGCAAGAATTCCGATTACACTTTCCATGTAATCAGGAATTCCTTTTCTGAAATGCTAACAAAGTCTTTCCAACAATGTATCACAAGTAATTAACGGATAAAATGACCTTAGGATCACAGGATAATTCAGGTTGGAGAGGACCTCAGACACTCAGTTTAGTCCAACTTCCTGCTACATGCAGGATCAGCTAGGAGATCAGACCAAGTTACTCAGTGCTTTATCCTGCTGGGTCATGAAAAACTCCAGAAATGGAAAATGTACAACCTTTCTGGGCAAGCTGATCCGCTGCTTGACTGTCCTCCTGGGGAAAAAGGTTTTCCTTCCATTCAGTCAGCACTTGTTCCAATTTATAGCCACTGCCTCTTCTCCCACCATGTATCCACCACTGTGAAGAGCCTGGCTCTGTCTTCTCCATAACCTCCTCATAAGTATCGGAAGGTTGATACTAGGTCCCCACAAACCTCCTCTTCTCCAGGCTAAGTAAGCCCAGTTTTCTCAGCCTCTCCTCACAGAGGGGCAAGCACTCCAGACCCCAATTATCTTAGTGGTCCCTCACTGAACCGAACTGACTCCAGTACATCAATCCTTTCCCTGTATTCAGAAGCCCAAAACTAATTAACAGTAAGACTGCAACACTAATATTGTCTTCTTTGAACTAAGTTTTAAACTAATTGTCCCCATACATTTCCTGAGTTCTTATAAGATAAACTTAAGAGACATTTCTGGGTTCTTTCTAGTCTAAAATTTCATGCATGACTAAATACATGAAATAACAGATTTTAACATACATACTAAAATCATACACAAAATAATTCTTACTATGCCATCATAACTATATAATAAAAAACCCCACCCACTTCTTTTTAAGTGCATTAAAGACCATGAGAACTAAGTATTCAGTAATGAAACATATTATTGTATTTGATATAAATCCAAACTAATACAGAAAAAGGAAACAACAAGGCAAAAGGAGTCAAATGACCAGCAACAATGCCATGCTGGAAATCAATGCAGCACCGTTATGTGCTAAAATGATCTAAATGCATTGTGCAACAGGATGGACATATATGTGCATACCTCCTCTGGGCAATGAATCATTGAAGAAACCTTCAATGGCTTCACATGTACTCCCATCTCCTCCACAAACACGGCATCTATCTTCCTTAGCATCAGACCCCAAAATATTATCACAACCTACATGCTGAGAACAAATAAGAACAAATATTTTAACAGGATGATGGTCTTGCACCACTATCTTCATAGGTTTTTTGAAGTGTTTCTCTCAAGTTTGATATATGCAATTCTTTTTGTCTACTCTGGTTTTGATAGCTGTTACCATAGCTTTTCACTTACCAAAGAAAGTAAATAAAAGAAGAAAACAATCCACATTTTGGGTTATTAGCAAATCTTGATTAAAAAGTACTTTGTATTTCTACTGTGACTTTCAGGAAGGGATCTCACAGCATTTTACAAACAATGTAATTATTACAGTTATCAATAAATGTTTAGTGGTGTTTTTATTTACTATTACAACAGCTGTGTTCCATCTACATTGCTTCATTAAGGTAAACATTTGCTGTGTGTTCCTTAAACATTTATGTAGCATAAATAGCATTATTGTTCCCAAAGGCATTTACAGATTCATAGACCACATTTCCACATCCTCCAGACAAAATTTGAAATATTTTCATAAGTGTGAATGTAAAGTGTAAATTACTTCTGTACTTCTTACTGTAAGAATGCATGTAGAATGAAACTTAGTGAAAGGCTGAATTACACACTGTATTGGGTAGGGTTCAAAAGCCTTTGGAAAAAAGAAGTGTCTATAACTACCTACAAAAAGTACATGACATTTCTGATTATCTACTTGAGAAATCTATGTACAGTTAACAATGATTAACTCCCTCTAACTTATTGATTCAATCCTATTACAAAGCTAATGAAAATAGACAGCTGGATCCTTAAAAAAAAAAAAAAGAGAAAATGAACGAGTAGGACATAAAAAGAATGAATGTTGCACCTTGCTAATTCTTTCTAGGTTTTATACAAAAAAGGAGGCAGGTACATAACTTTGTTTACTGTCTAGCAATATTACCTACCATCTTGTAAACAGGTAAAACATAGGTCATAAGAGAAGTTAAAATACTTCAAATAATTGACAAAATAGTATTATTCTAAACATTATATTTCTAATGTCTGATTTACCAAGACAGCAGAGGCCCCAATTTATTACATAGCTCATTCTAAACTTGAGATTTAGTCTGATCATTAGTTTTAAAAGATTTCTCAAAACTACTGAAATCTTCTTATGTATAAAATACACCAGAATTACACAGGTATTTCTTGTGCTTTTTTTTTTTTTTATTTACTAAAACATGGCAAACGCTTTTGATCTTATCATGTTATTCAATAAACATACATCTTCAGCCCTCATTTAGCAAAGAACTTAAGCATCAGGTTAAGCTTTAGTTATGTTAGTGGTTTCAGTGAAATCAAATAATTTTTAAAGTCACCAGCACTGTTCAGATGACTAGACTTAAGTACGTAATTACTCTGCTAAACTGAGGGAGAAGTGGGATGTATATAACCAAAAATATGGCATAGACCTCCAACTCTATTCAAATTCATATAAAGTGGTGCTACAGGAACTTTACAAGATAATCAGATTTTTAGTAAACGGCAAATATTTGCATCAGTATACACTTTCTCCTAGAACTACAGAGCAATGGTGACAACTTTCTGTTTCAATTACGTTAACTAACTAGTTAGAAACAGATTAATATGTTCACATTTTCTGTTTTTCAGCCAGAGTGGTGTTCTAACTGGAGTTATGGAATAGGCCTTAGGACAGTGCAAGGAATCTGTCCATCTCCTGTTGCCCTTTCCACCAATTCTTCAACAGAAGCCATAAAACAAGAAAAAAGAAGACAAATGAAGGATTTTATGATTGCCTGTGAGAAACTACTGAAATTCAAATGATTCTTACTTATGCAACACCTTTTTTATCTTTTTGTCTCAATCTTACTCTTCCATTAACAACTTGACCTGTCAGCACTCCTGTTTCATGTAAGTAACAAAGAAGTACCGTAATTAAATGTAGGAGATAGCAGACACAACAAAGCAAGCTGTAAGTGCTATATAAAACATTTGTAACCTTGCATTCTCCATTGATACAGATATCCAGTGAATCAGCATTGCACTGAGTTCCATCTATTACTGCAGGAGCACGTTCAGTGTAAAAGTTATAACCTTCAGCCAAGCAGTTTAATGCACATGGTTTAACCCCACCTGGACAACAAAAATGAAAGAAAAAAACCACAACAGAAATCTTGAAAAGTTAACAGTTAAAAATATAGATGCATAAACATATCTGAAATTTTATAATCTTATCTCATACCTGACACATATAATGTATACACTTTATTTAACTTCCTTTTATTGATTTCTTTACTTGACTCTTCTTTCTTGCAAAAAAGATTATTTTGTATAGTAAGACATGGCAAGGTTGGCTTGCTCCATAATGATGCCATTATGTTAATACAACCCTAATGATTATTGAACAATTTAAAACAATAAGGATACCACTTCACCATTTGAAAAACAAGAATAACAAAATAATGCAGTGCTAGAAGTATATCAAGGTAAATTTTAAAACCAAGATCAGAGTATTTCAATTAGGAATTTAGTCCTATTGAATTACACTCAGCTCAGACCACACGACTGCAATTATCTTGTTTAGGCTTTTAATCTAGAAAACTAAGAGTGAAACCATTAGAGTCAATAAAATACAAGAACACAATGGGGAACATAGACTTATTCGCTCAGGGTTTAGAAGAGGAAAAAAATCCAAAATAATAAAAGAGCAACCTACAAATGACAACAGAAAAATAACTAAACTTGATTAAACTGTCTCAAAGAGAAAAAGAAATTACAACCCTTTTCCATGTTGCAAAATGCCCTCTTATTGCACAGTGCAATTATTTATAATTCAATTATTGAAGTAGTCTTTAGAGACTCTCATAAATGCCTTTACTTCTTTCTCCTTTTCCTGACTTTAAAATTCTGACTTTAAAAAAGGAAAACTTATTGTGAGGTTTTTTTATACTGAACTCATCATTGTAGAATGAAAGTCACTTACAGACCACCTGTGGAATCTCTAATTCTGTTGCAACTGCAGGTGCAGAAGGACTCCACATTTTTCAAGTGGAATCCCTACAATGATGGTCATTCCCCTTCACAGTAAAACAAAACTCTACCAGAATAGAGATGGATCTTCTGCAGTGTTTTCAGCAATTGACTAAAGTACAAGCTTAGCAAGCTTAGCTCGTTATACTTTAATCAAAACATTCTATTTACAAGCATTACTCTAATATTTATATAATTTTGAAGACTTCACATACGATAACATTTTTGCAAAGCTAACCATTACCTCCAGTGTAGGGTTTCCAGTTATAGTATTTTCCCCGGAAAGGCATATTGTCAAAATCTGCACATTGCTTTTCTCTAAAATCACGGGCCCCTGAAGGACATGGCTAAAATAATAAAGTAAAAAAAAAAAAAAAAAAGGTTAATTTATTCCAAATATCAACACAAAAAGAAATGCTTATATGCTTATATTGCAAACATAATCATGCAAGACACTAGGAAGTGGTTCCCTGCTTTATCTTGTATCTCTGATCCTGAAACTTGCTTTATTCCCTTGCAGGTGTGTAAAGTGTCTATTTTGCAATCTTAGGCTGGTATGAAGTAACTGAAGTAATTTAAACAAAGGTAAGTGTTACATAACAGTTTTCATAAAACCGGACACTCAGAATCTCATCAAACCATGCTTCACAATCAATCCATCAGCTACCTCCTTATAAACACACATTAAAAACAGGTGAAAAAAATAAAACAAAATCACTTTGGTAAGAGCTGTAGGCTCGGTTATACTGTACCTAGCAGCTGTACTGAGACATGTTATTAAGACATCCAGAAAAAAAATAAAACACTTTCCAAAGAGCTGTATCACCTCTGTTTACTTGCAGCCTTGCCAAAAGCATTTTGTTAAGGCTGTGAATGAAAATAGGTATCATGTTTGGCTCTGATTTTACCAGTCTCCAAGTGTGAAGAAATAAAAATTGCTTTCATTTGAATTGTCATGACTTTGCATTAGCAATTACAAAACTGTAAAGCATCTTTTTTTTATTCGGAATATATTAGACGCAAGTGAAATTCACCTTGGAAAGAATTATAGGAGGAACAGAATTCTTTGCTGTTTCTCACATTTTTCATCAGCAGGTTCAAAATAATAATGACAACTAACTTGAATACACCCAGAATTTAGATAGCACATTAAACATTGTTATCAATGTTTAAGTACCTGCTGAAATTACAAGCTTCATCAGACAAAGTATTTGAAATACAGATTAAAATCCCTTTTAGACTGAAAGAGAAAAGAATTTGTTTGACAGAAATCAGAGGTGTTAATAAATATTACTATTTTATGAGCAAAAGAAGAGTTCATTTCATGGCAGTTTTACTTGTGTTCCTATGTATCTAAGCCAGTTAGGACTGTTCAGGAATCTGAAATGCATTCAAGTGAAAGGGTCTCTATAAACACAGATGATAAAAAATTACAGCACAATGCAAATATTAACATAATAATTATGATTCTTAGTACACATTAATCAAGCTCTTATAACAGCCAACCCATTGCAATATGATTCAGAGATAAGAATTTTTTCTCCAATTTTGAAGCTGTTGAAATATAAATTAAAACAGTGGAGATTAGACAGTATTTAAATTTTAAATTTTCTCTACAAATCACTCTATTATCTCCTAATAAAAATACATTTTTGAATATAATATATTTACCGGCAGAAAAAAGTACTGTAACTACTTTAATTAAATAATCCTTCAGATGACAAAAGTGACAATAAAAAAGTAACTATGTTAAATAAAATAATAACTTTTAAAAGTTTTTTTAATAGTAACACAAATTAAATTTGCCTTTCTGCATCATATTCTCCAAGCAGTAGAAGGATCACTCTTGATCCGCATCAAAGCTTGAGTCTGAATCTCTCTGATACTGGTCACCACACCCTATTCTTCAGTCCCACTTGCTTAGGTACTAATTTACATGGGTGGTATTTTAAGTGCACCAAGTTTGCCTTACAAGTTAATTAAATCACATCCCCTAACAAAATCCTTTTTCTGAATAGTTATACTAGAACAAAACAATAAAATACGAAGATAAGTAAACAAGGATCGAGTCTTCTATATTCATGCTCTTAAAAAAATTCTTGTAATCTGATCTTTGAGGTGTACTGTGAGGGTGACCAAGCACTTGTACAGGTTGCCCACAGAGGTGGTGGAATCTCCCTCCTCAGAGACACTCAAAAGCCGTCTGAACATGGTTCTGGGCAACCTGTTTGAGGTTTGAGCAAAAGGGACCGTACAAGATGATGTCCAGAGGTCCCCCTGTAAGCAAAGCAAAGTCTTCCTTTTACCCTATTAAGTATCAATTCAGATTTTGCCACAATTTAAACTGCTAAAATCACTGTTTGTATCCTCTTTTCTTCTTGAACACAGCTCTAGAAGCCTGACAGAAAACCAGCTATACACAAGTATGCATAGTCTGCAATCTCCCTGCTGACAAGAACAGCAGACAAGGCTGGGAATACCTGGGAGCAGCTAAAGGAACTGTTCAAGCAAAGCCACTCATACAATGTTCATGCTTTATTGATACTTCATCCGGTTCTGGATGAAGTTCCCGACATTAAATCCTCGTTTCCTATACTGCAAGTACTGTTAAATTAATTTCACAAACTAATATACTAATGATGTCAAAGCTTTCACATAACCTGGTGTCTTTGGCTCTAAAAACACAAATCCATCAAACCACCGACACATTTGGTGACCTTCACAATAAAATAAATGTCAACTTTAGTAGCTAAGTCCTCTCAGTGAATACTGACAAGTGCTAGCCCTCATCTCAGGATCTTACTCTTTGTCCAAATCATTAGTTGGAATCCAGCTTTCAGGTGGATTCAGTAAAGTTTTCAAGCAGTCCTCCTGAAGACTGCAGTTACCGAATGATAGCCTGAAACCTGCAGCATTCTGTAATCTGAAGCATAAAATGCAACTTGTAAATTTGTTATTGCATACTCTTCCTGCCTTTTTAAGTATCTCACCAGTACCAGAAAGGAAGTAAAACTAAAGGCTATGACCTCAAGAAATGCATTCAAAATCATGCTTGACAAACCTGATCACCTTCTATGACAAAGTAACCTGCTCATCTGATATGGGGCAAGCAGCGGACATTGTCTACCTGGATTTCTTCAAGGCTTTGGATACGGTTCCCCACAGCCTCCTCCTGGAGAAACTGATGCGTTATGGTCTAGACAAGTGGCCTGTGTGGTGAGTCTGTGTGGGGAACTGGCTGACAGGCTGCACTCAGAAGGTGATGGTAAACAGCTCCTTTTCAAACTGGCAACATGTCACAACTGGGGGCCCCTAAGGATCAAAACTGGGCCCAACGCTGTTTAATATCTTCATAAGTGATCTGGATGATGGGATCAAGTGCACCCTAATGAAGTTTGCAGATGATACCAAACTGAATGGGGAAGCAAACAGTTTGGAAGGGAGAGCCACCCTGCAGGAAGACCTGGGTAGGCTGGAAGAGTGGGTTAACAAGAACCTTGTGAAGACCAACAAAGACAAATGTAGGGTCTTGCCCCTGGGAAAACATAATCCAGGAGTGCAGCACAGGCTAGGATCTACCTGGCTGGGGAGCAGCTCTGTGGAAAGGGATCTGGGCATCCTGGTGGACAGCAAGCTCAACATGAGTGGACAATGTGCTGCTGCGGCAAAGAAAGCCAACAGGATGCTGGGTTGCATCAAGGAGGGCATTACCAGCAGAGATCAAGAAGTCATTATCCCACTCTACTCAGCACTTGTCAGGCCACACCTGGAATACTGTCTTCAGTTTTGGTCCCCGCTATACAAGAAAGATGTGGACAGGCTGGAGAGGGCCCAGGGAAGGGCCACAAAGATGACTGAAGGACTGGGAAGCCTGCCATATGACGAAAGGCTGAGAGAACTGGGTTTGTTCAGCCCTGAGAAAAGAAGGCTTAGGGGAGACCTTATCATCATGTTCCAGTATTTAAAAGGTGGCTACAAAGAAGATGGAAGACTCCCTGTAAAAGGACGTGGAAAAGATGAGGGGTAATGGGTGCAAGTTACTCCTGGGGAGATTTCCTATTCGACACAAGAGGAAAGTTTTTCACAATGAGAACAATCTGTGGACATTCTGACTGAATGCAAAAGGAACATTTTCCACAGTGAGAACAATCAGCCATTGGAATAATCTCCCCAGGGAAGTGGTGGATTCCCCAACATTGGACACTTTTAAGATTCAGATGGACAGGGTGCTGGGCCATCTTGTCTAGACTGTGCTTTTGCCAAGAAAGGTTGGACCAGATGATCCTTGAGGTCCCTTCCAACTTGGTATTATATGATCTATGAAAATCATAGGTATAGAAATGCAAAAATGTTCCTGCAAGGTAAGCCACAATAAGCATGTACAAAATGTCAGCACTTTGAACTGTCTCCTTCTGTATGTACTCTTTTCTCAAACTAAATGTGCAATAACTGCTTGTCTTGGATAAGATATTTCACTTTTTTCACACAGTTACAGTATATGAATAACTCTTGTCAAGCAACAGGCTGCTTGTGTTTCCAAATGCTCTTTTAAGGGACTGCAAAGCATGAGGCAGGAATCTAACAAATATATAGGGACTTAAAATCAGGTCTGAAGAACATCTTGAGAAGATGATGATGAAATAATTAAAATTCTGAGTTAAAGAAAGTATTGACTTTAATAAGAACATAAAAAAAATTAAGACTGAAGCAAAAATAAATCATCTATGGAGCATTAACAAATCATTGAACCAACATGGACATGACACCAAAGTTCTTATCTCACAGAAATCTGTTTATCTTGGAGCTTAAAGTCAGGCAGACCTCAGTAATTGAACTCATTGTGTCCCCTATTAACAAAGGGCTATGCTACATCTCACAGAAGATGAGAAACACAACCGGAAAGGTGACAGCTGAAACTCCAAGACATAAGCTCCTCATATGAATGCATTTTAGAAAAAATAGCCTTGAAAATATTAAAATTATGAAAGCAATGAACAATATCTGTGAATGTATGCGTAATGGAAGGAACCAACAAAACCCATCTGCCTACATTCTATTAAGAGAAAAGACTGAAGAACAAGAACCTTCTAAAAATATGTATACACATACACTTTTATATAGATAAACCATTCACAGAACTTGTAAGCAAAACATGTTTCTTATAGTATATAAAAAATTAGGAGGCTTTTACAGTTTTAGATGTATATCAAATTAAGCTTCACATCCTATACATATTTTAAATCAGACAATGAGTTACTTTAACTGAGTAATTAAGTGCCTTGCAATTCTCTTAGCATTTCGTATTTATTTTTAAATTAAAATACTTTGGTTGGAAAAAAATATATATTTTTGTTAGAGATCGTGCCATTGGTGGTAGAAAATAAGTTTCTGATGAGTGTGTTCTTTCTACCATCCTTTTGTTTCCAAAACTCATTGGCTAATGTTCTTTTCTGCTGATCTCAATGTTTCCATTAGCAGATGCCTTCTGAATTAAGAAGTCATATATGGCTTTGGAAGTGTTTGATGAGAAACAAGCCTAGTAGGAGTGTGTGTGCTGTTTCCAAAGAATTAAAATGGTCAAAAGGGCAACAGAACTAACTCATCTCTGAAAGAAAAGTGAAGTCAAAATAAAGTGGGGTTTTTTTGGTTTATGAATAGTCGGAGTTTTAGGGAGTGCTACGTTGAAAATTACAGATGGGCAATGCACGTTGATATTGCATAATAAACAAAAAAGATGTACACACAACACATTTTTCATAAAAACAATGACACATTTGCATGCTTTTAACGTTTACATTAATCAAACATACCATTCCATTAAAAATGTCAAGCACTGAGGACTATCATAAATCTTGAAACAAAATCTACTAGTCTCAGCAATTCTTAGTAATGTAGAACCCTAAATAATACTATAAAAGAAATAGAATACAATTGTCAAAACAATCAAGGCAGTAAAATTAAATTTCTGTAAGTACCAATATGTTTATGCTCTAGAAAACGATACCCAAAAAATACACTAAAAAAATTATTCACATTCAAACAGTAAGAATGGCATTTACAAATTGCCTGACCCGAGTCCGTAATTGTTCAAAATTTGTTTTTAAGACCTAGACAATGAAATGCAAAGTTTTCTTTCCAATATCTTGTTTAAATTATTGATTGAAATCTGAGTATAGGTACGGAATTAACATTTTGGAATAGAGGTCTATAATTTTAAAAGAATTTGATAAATTGGAGCAGTGGTTTGAAATAAAGCAATGGATGCAAATTACTACACTTGAGTAGGAAAAATCAACTGTGCAAGGACAAACTGAGGAATGACTTTCTAAACAGCACCCCTTAAGAAAGGGATTTGGGCATTGCAGATCAATACAGACTAAATAAATATTGTCACTCCTGTAAGAAAAATGAACACAATACTGAAATTAATAAACAGAATACCATCACTAAAATGACAAAGTTCAAAGTTACACTCATCTCTGACAGGCCTCAGCTAGAATCCTGTGCAGAGGTTTGGGCACCACACTTCAAGATGACATATGCTACTGGGATCTCAAAGACTATTAACACAGAGACTGTCTAGAGTAAAGAAGACTAAGAAAAGATATGACAGGAGTCTGCAAACACAGGAAAGATCCCCATAGAGGGAGTATTATCAGCTGTCTTCTTACTGGGGAAAGAGTAAGTAGGGGTCTCAAAGGATGGGAAAACACACACTACATTTTATAAAAACTGTCCTGACTGTAAGGATATTGAAGAATCCTAATCATATCTCCTGGACTGGAGGTACTTCAAAAACAGGTCAGCTGTGTAACCGTCAGTTAAGAATGGTTTAATGACAGTTGACTTTGCCTTTGAGCCAGGGAATTGCCTGAACGGCCTCCTCAGATACCTTCTAGATGTTTCTTCTGAGCCCCTATAAGCTTCCTCTCAGTAATAAACAACTAAAGACAGAATAAGGGAAGCAACACCAACTAAGAATAAAACTGTCTGAAAAATGTCTGACAATAAGAAATAAAATATCATAAGAATAAATGAAATCCTAGCAACATTTCAGTGGTATCACTATGTAGCTATGGTATGATTGTTAATAATAAAAAAGCATTTAAAAGTTGCATATTTGTGAGAGGGCAGGATTACGTATTACGCAAACCTTCTTGTATACTAGTTACTGTGGCACATGCTAAATAATATCTATTGGAGATAAACATTTTAAATAAGAATGCTTGCACAATTACCTCGCAAGAGTCCTGAAAGAGTGAGGGGAGGAGGGCTCCAGTGTGCCAATGTGAATTTTTAGACAAATCTTAGACTGTGTGTACAAACTGAACAGTGCTAATGTAAAAAGGTCATTATTTGAAAAGGACAAACAGAATATTCTAGGTTACAGTTTGCCTGATATCAATCCCAAATAAACAGAAAAGTTGGCAGAGATTTGACTGATACAGGTCACTTAACTTAGTAGTACACAACATCCTGACTGAGAAAAACAGAAACAATCCTGTATTAGTTCAGTAAAGCATACCTTACATTTATTAAATATTGACTGATAGATTTCAACATGGAACTATGATTAATAGGTGAATTTCCTATCTACTGTAAGAAACACACTCAGTGTTACTCAACATTTTCATTTGTGAATTGGAACTATGAAAAAATTTCTTGCTTATGAAGTCTTCCAATTACAAAAAGAGCATCTGAGTGAAAATAAAGAGGAAGGGAAATTAATTACAGTGGATCATCTGATACACTGGATCCATTCAAACGAAAATTGCACAAAGACAGCCAAGCACAAAAATACACATCTACCAAAAAAATAAGATGGTCAAAGTTTCAGAATGGTACACTGTAATTTGGAAGGCTGTATCACTGGAAAAGTTTTACAGCTCGTACTGGACAAGCAGCTCAGCTTCAGTTTCTCTTACAACACTGTGGCCAAAAGGCCTAACACGCTTCTTGGCTGTGTGAACAGAGCAGCTGTGAATAGCAGTAGGAAAGTTACTTTTCATTTTGAAATTTGTAATACTACCTAATAATGAGAATAACCTCTACAGAGAAGTTTGCAGAACTAATACTTACGATAATTAGCAATGATCATTAAACCAAGGGTTATTTTTCAAAGAATCAGCATATTAACTATTGTATTTTTTCCTGCAATATGTCAAAAGATGAACAGGTGAAACAACACCTTTAGGTACAGAGTGTCCCACTGTTACAAACTTTCTGTATTTAAGAAGAAAATTAAGATGAATTTGAAGCTAAAATAATATGAAAGCCTGCTTATGTTTGTAGTGCTACTGACTCGGAAACTTACTACTGAAATTCTTTAGTGGTGTGCACTTTTTTCTGGTTGAATTTTTAACTTACTTGAATTTGTAATTTAGGGTTATAATTCAGTTTTATGCATTTATACTCTCCCCCAGCTCCCTCAGTGGTAGCTCATTATTTGATGGGCTCACGTCTAAAATAAAACTGCATGATCATTCTGGTAATACAAGAACCATTGGACACCTGATGGCAAAAAAGCAGGTTTAAAACACACCAAAAGAAATACATTTTCACAGAATGTACAAGAGGATTGTGTAACACATTAGCACTGGAAGTTATAAAGGTATAAAAAGGGTAAGAGAGTTTAAAAGTGGATTCATGGAGGACACTTCCATTTGTGGCAGTTAATGTGCTACACACACAATGTGGAGCTCAGGAAATCTTTAGACACCCAGCTTCTGGAAACTCACACAGTGCATCCATGGAAAAGTCATGCCTTGGCTGCCAAAAATCTATAATTTTTCCCTAAACATCTGTTATTGTCCACGGCTGGGAGACAAGACATTGGGCTAGACAGACCTTTGCTCTGATGTGGAATGCTCCTTGTTCACCTTTAACTTGGATGCTCAAATCGTACTCACTCCAGGCCCTAATGCGAAGGGACCGGCTGGGCATCACATTAAGACAGGGATCCTAACACTTAGCAGAACACGTTGGGTGCCTGCAGTATAGAAGTGCCCTACAGAACTGTTTGCCAATAAAATGCAGAATTCACAGCTTTCCTGAACTGGGAAAAATTGAATGCTAAAATGTAAAACAGACAAGTTGATGATACTTTTACAGTGGAACAAAATTTACTTACATCAGTATTACAGGAGCGATACCGCTTCCTTTCCCCAAGACAATATTTGCCTCCACCTGAAGGCCTGGAAAAACATGTTTTATGTGTTAGTATATTTATTAGTACAAACACAAGTTCATGAGATATACTAATGCATTATTAGTATAAATACAAGTCCAAGACACATATATTATATGAATAAAAGTACATGGAAGTTTTAAGGTGAGATTTAAAAATATTTTATTTAATGACAATTGTAGCATTGACTTGAATTGCAGCAGATAAACAATACTGTGCACTTGAATCATCATACATATAGTATTAATCTAGTTTGCATAGATTGCAAGCAATACTGTTCAATTGTATTTTGAACGTACTAAAAAGGCATTATTTTTAATTATTTGCTTGCTTAATCAAATTACAATGAGAAGTCTGTAAACAACCTATGTGATAGTGGGCTTTTTTTAATCTTCTCATATTACACTTGAAAATATAACAAAATGAAGAAACACTGCCTGCTAAATACTGGAGCTAGCAAAGACTGCATTTTCCATTTCAAGAATCTGATTCTGATTTGAATTAAGCAGTATTGCATCTGAGGAAACACCAGAGTAAGCAGGTTTCTATTAGTGAGAATAAGACATTGGCTCTTAAATTCCCAAACTGTTCAGGAACCTTATCTTCCACATAGGTCAAATAAAGAATTAGCATTGACTTAAATGGAAGATTAATCACATATCAGCTCTTTGACTCATAACTTGAAAGTAGAAAGGAAAAGCATTTGGTATTTGTTTTACAATAAAGAAATAAAAGAATTTACAATTAACGAAAATCAGTACTATTTTTCACATTACAGATATTTATCCAGGCAACACTATCCTAGAACCAATAGGATTTCTTTTCCTAATGCAGATATATCCTCTCACCCCGCAATGCATCTGCTTGCTATACTGTTAAACATTTAAAATTTAATCACCTTTCAACATACCATCCCATATATGTGGTGACAGGAGTAGTTAAAAAAATCTTAGAAAATTACTCATGCTCCAAACAAACATTTCACTAGCATTTTTATATACTGTTGTAAAAAAATAACAAATTTATTATCCTCTCAGTAACATAGTCTGACCTGTTATTGATGCATACGGATCATTTTTTGCTTTTGAATCCATTCAGTAAGTAGTGCTATTTGCCAGATTTGATAGCTAATGCTAATAGAAGGTGAACAGGCCACCTTAAGCAGCAGTAATGTGACATTATAGTGTCTGTCTTGCAGAGCGCAGTGGAAAGCTGTGGTACAGCCTGGCTCGCAAACATGGTTACAAGCAACAAAGAACCTAAGTGTACAGAGAGGAGAAGATAAGAAAGGAGTGACAAAAGCCACAGAATGGATTTTCATGAAAGAAGCACAAAAGCTTAATGTTTTCAAGAAAAAGTGGTCTTAAAAACTAATAATGGTGATGGAAATAATGATTATGGGACATGACAAGAACAAAGTACTGATAATAAAACTATCTTCCTGCAAAGACCTATAGCTGTGATGAGGTAACCAGAACAGGGCAGGCAGCAACAGAAAAAAGCAGTGATTCATTCAGCAAAGAACAGCAATGGAAATAAATAAGCGTTCCTCATCTGAGAAGCGCTAGTGACAGAGAGAAGAGCACTTACTGGACAGACCTTGTCTGGAAGAGTGCTCATGACATTGGAAAGCAGACAGATGACAGGACCAGTACAGATACACACAACAGATCAAGCTGTAGTGGAGATGCTGACCCCTCTTGAGAGAGAGTAGATGGACCAATAGGGAGTAGTGGCAAGGAGAGAAGTTGCTGAATTTTTTTAGGAGTCAGTGGGAAGTCACAACTGAGTGTTGGACATGACAGCAAATAAATGTATTGTATGCAACATAACACTACTAACTATGTTTTATATGTAAGCAGTCATATGCAAAAGCTTGGAAACACTGTCTTGTTTTTTTTTAATAACCTGCAATAGTTATTTTATATTCTAGGCAAGCATTAGAGGCAATACGTCTTAAGAAAGAAATCTATCCAAAGCATAATTTAAATATATTTTGCACGCAGAGCAAGTTGCAGAAAGAAACCCATTCTGGTTACTGCTAAATATAAATCAGCTATCTTTACAGTACATAAGATACATTAAAAATGTTAAAAGTATGTCTAGTGAACTTCTCCTGTTTAAGTGTTTCTGTCTGTTATTTTGAAGACATGTTGGCAAACTAGCAAAACATTTTTACAGATAACATGTGAAACCACAGTTTTGAATAATTTCCAAATGTGTCTTTTTGTTGGCTCTGGCTTACTTTAGCTACTTACGCTGGACTGTCACAGTGTCTTATAGATGAGGAGACTCCTCCCCCGCAGGTCCTGCTGCACTCTCCCCATATTGACCATGGACCCCAACCACCATCTATGCTCTGGGGCCAAGTGCCAAAAGGTACGCACTCTCCCTGATAACACCACTGAAAGATTTCACAAGAAAAACACAAAATTAGCTTCCAGGCTGACAGAGTTATCAGGACAGAAAAATATAAGGGTCAGGCAATGACCAATTATAGGCATTAGCATTCTCTGTATAGAAAACAAGACTAATATTTTACTTTTTCTAGCCATGTTTAGACATTGGTGAGGGTGTGCGTGATTTGTTAATTGTCTTCACTCAGTCCTGAGTTATGGGTCCCTAACACACACCAGAAGTTAAAGCAAGCTTAAAATATAGATTTTCTTTTTTCTTCACACATCCTCCTTAACATTTCACATTAAAGAAACTGCAAGTTGCTTACATTCTTTTAAACACTAGGATTCATTTCTAAGATTAGTTTAGTAAAACACCCTTCAGTTAGGATTCATGTAGGGGCTTCATTACACAAAATGAAAAATTCCCCCCAATCATATTTTTAAGAAAGTATTCCCTTATGTTTTAAAAAAGAAAATCTGGATGAGGTTACAATGGATGAAGAATTTGTTGCAGTACTTCATTTATACTAACCCTACAGACATAATAAAAGCAGTGCCAAAGCATTAGACATGGTACAGAAAATCATTATGTAATAGCAACTGGCCACTTGTCCAGGGACAGAGTGAACATGTGTACTTCACTCACACAAACACTTATACTTTGTGATAGTAACTTACATTGGACATACAAAATGACAGACAATTTGCACAAACGGCTAATTGTTAAAATAAGTTTATCACATCCTTAATCAGAAACCTTTTTTAAACCATTCAGAAATAATCCTAACGTCCATAGTTTGATCCACATTCTGGTGTCTGCTGCGTCACTGAGAATCTGGAGTAGCTCCGTCAGACAGCCCTCGCCCCACCGTTACAGGCTTAGGTGACACAGTAGAGCACAGCCTCAGCTCTACTGTGACCTGAATCTGCACATTTCACTTCCAAACATTGGGCATCTGCTGCCGAACTCCCTTGAATTCCCATAACAGACACAGTATTGACCCTTTCCAAAGAGAAACCCAGACAATTTCTGTGTCCAAAATCAGCCATATGAATCTGACAAAAAGCACTGAGACATGCACAGAAGACATGGACAGACAGACATATCCCTGTCCACCCATAAGCACTACTGGAAGACTCTGTGTTGACTTTATATTAATAGGTACAGCAAAGCCAAGTTTTCTCTTCTCTGCAGTCCTAAGGCTCACCTAAAGCTTCAGTCCCAGCATTGTGGGACATACCTAAACAAGTAAATAAAGATATTCACAATGACCTGAATTACTCTAGATTTTTCTGAAAGCAACTGAAAAGAGAACCTTCAGTCATTACCTAGGAAAAAAAATAATTAATAGTTTGATATGAACAAAGATTATACAGTGTTAGTTAAAGAAAATGAATAAAAATCCTGATTTTTTCATTAGAAATTTCAGTTTGTGTAAAAGGTACTCCTAGACTGTCAAATGTATCGGAGTCTAAGTGTGTAGCCTTCAAGAATGTACATTAAAATGATGTATTAATATTAAAATGTGTAGCTTATCATCAGCAAATGCACCTATATACATCACAGTTTTGCATACAAACACATTACTATTTAATATAGTATTTCCTTATTATATTATTGCCTTATTATTTCCACATTAATAAGTGAAACCTGTAGCATTAGTTTTCTAGCCACACTCAGTCTTGTTTCTTCTCTCAAAACATTTTTGTCCTCCAGGACTTCTATTTTCTCTGTATGTGCTATACCTGCTTTAAAACAACTGTTATAATCCAGCACATTTCTGTTTATAAGCCTCATCCTCTATCAGTTAGAGAAACAAAAAATAAGCATTAACGTGTCTACAGAAAAGATAAAGCTGACTATTTTAAATCTCAAGTTCAAAATGCACTGCCTTTTCTACCAGGTCTGGCCAGGACAGAGTTCTCCTTGTAGCAGCCCGTATGGTGCTGCATTTTAGGTTTGTGACCATCATGGATAATGCTCCAATGTTTCAGCTGTCGCTGAACAGTGCCATCACACCATCAAGGCTTTCTCAGATTCTCAACCTACCACCCAAGTGAGTAGGCGGGGGGTGGGCAAGAGGCTGGGAGGGGACACAGCCGGGACAGCTGACCCAAACTGGCCAAAGGGATATCCCATACCCTATAACATCATACTCAGCAATAAAACTGGGGGTGGGGGTGTTTCCAAAGTAGTCGCTGCTCAGAGACTGGTTGGGCAACACTTTGCTGGTGGGAGGTAGTGAGTGATTGCCTTTGATCTCTTGTTCACTTTTTCTTTCTTTTCCTTTCACTTACTGAACTGTCTATCTCTGCCCATGAGTTTTTCTCACTTCTGCTCTGAAGTTAAATCTGAAGATTTACTGCTTACTTCGGTGTCTCTTCTTAATTTTCTAGTGAAAATTTATCTTTCATCAGAAGCCAGTGATGCATAAAATCTGTCAGAGTAATTCAAAATTACCAAAATCTTCATTATTTCTAATGTGACTACATAAATATGCTTCCTCCACAAATTATAGCAACCTCAGCTGCTATAATGAGGTAAGTAATGAGCATATGAAGAAACGAGAGCAGGTGACAGTTATTTGAAAAGAACAATCCTTCATGAAAGGCTTAGAACTGAAATGCTAATTCTTCTCTAAGATTGAATAAATAACTTTCAATTCATTCAACCAATTTGAATCTGCATAAAATGTGCAAAAAACTTTGTGAATAATCTAAAGAATCTGTGATTTTTCTTATAGAGGTCTTTAACAATAAAAGAAAACATGATATTGTGGTACATGTGAGATCACCTTTATATGAGTAATAGCTGTTTAACAGAACTAAGATTTACAATAGTACGCTTTTAGAAAACTCACACAGCAAGTACTCTAATACCAAGTAAAATTGATTTCATCTTTTGTAGTAGGAATAAAAAAGATTAATTCAATTTAAATTTGCCATCACAATTTTAATGATGTATTTTCAATCATTACTTCTACAATGATTTTGCCAGAAAACTTAATGTCTAATAATAACCTAAATTTAGCTCATCTTAATGTCCAATAATAACTTAAATCGTCACACAATCTAGCTATTTAAACTGTCCTTTCAGCACACTGTTTTCGCTTTTTGCACATTCGCCCCTCATTTACATCCCTAGCATGGATCTAAACGATGGTAGAAAAGGTTACTTTATTATTTTACATTCAAACACAAAACAAACACTCCTATCAGTTTTGTCTTATTGTTTTATATGCACCATTTCCTCATCAGAGTCTTTTTAAAAAAAATCTATCAGTTTACCCTCACAAACACATCTCTGGGTATACCAGAGAGAAACTTCATGTATATTTAAAATTATTATTACAAATTAGGAAAAAGTGTACCCTTTTGAACCCAGCTGATATGTAAAACCTTTCATCATAGCATGAATGTACTAAAGCTTCAAAACAGAACAGATGTACAATTTCTGTCAGTAGCAAGAAACCACTCTATTCTCTGTCCCTGTATGCAGAAAACAGCTGAGTAATTTTATGGGAAACACTCTAAAAACCTTCAGGCGTACGCAGACATCTACTGTGGAAAATTTCAACCCAAAGAGTTAAAAGTTTGGCAGGTTTATATAAGCAACTGAAAGAAGGTTTTATAACAGAGTGTTACATCATTTTAATTGTGGAAACCCCTCCCAACTCTGACAATAAGGTATTAGTGCACAGTGCATCAAATTTTGCTTTGAGTTAATAGTTACACTGAATTTACATTAGTAGTACACTGAATTTACATTAGTGTAACCAAAAGCAGAAATTGAGCCTCCAAATATGATGAAGTACTCTGACATCTTGTTAGGCCTTTAGTGAAGGAAACATCATTTATTATATTTGGACAGAGCCTAGCAAAATAGGGCCTAATTTGGTTGCGGCCTTTAGACGTGACTGCAATATAATGTAGTGGTGATGATGATGATGAAGATGATAATGTTTTATATAATTGTAACCTATTATTTTCTCATTAGCATGTGGTAAAGAGAACTACGTATTTGGAAAGAGCTTGTGTTTTCTGTTTTTTTGCTATGAATTTGCTTTGAAGCTACAGTTTACATACATGATTCTCTGCTGTTAGCAGGCATGACCAGTTTACCTTTGTAAAACAGCACTCATTTTCCTCTAAAATCTAATGATGGAACAAGATACTGATGGCTGGAAAAAGATGTTCTGTAGAGACCAAACTGATTAAAGCCTCTGGTAAGTGGACACAGCAACAGTGTCTTAAACCATCTAAGCTTGTTCATTGTAGTCTCATGGTTTAAAAAATATAAATTGAGGTAAATTGTTCCTTGTCAATGACAGGGAGTGGTGGTTCCAAAATAAACGTAGACTGTTGATTTAAGAGTAGGGCTTCTAACATTTTCTATTACTCTAATGAAAGAAAAAAAAAAAAGGTAGAATGCAAAGGTGCCTCTATTTTCATCGGCTAAGTCTAAGCACTCTATTTTTTCAAATGATCCTTTCAATGAATTTAATTAACACAGTTACCAATATTTCCAAACTCAGCCTGGAAAAGCCATCACAATGATGCTAGTTCACAGGCCCTGAATGAAGCCATCAACAAGCACTAATAAACTGTGACAGCTGCCCAAAAGCTTTCATTCTTTTTGTTTAAACATCAGATTGCAAGTCAAAATGCAGTGTAATCTTTGCTGAAGCTAGCCCAGCTAGCGTGGCAAAAGTCAGAATGAAAATAGATGTCAGTAGTCGTCGTCAGTAAGAGGTCCGATCTGGAGCACTAAATCTTACAGGCAGATACAGCAACTCTCAGACAGATAGTGGAAATTATTTAATATAATATGCTCTCTTCACTTTGTACAAACAAACAAAAAAATATTATCTTGAAAAAAGGCCTATGGAATCCCCCTTTCCTCCCAGTAAATGTCCTGTAAATGAATAATGAAAATACATTTCTGTCTTCTTTAAGATCTTTGTAGATTTTGCCTTGTAATATTTTTCATCTAAAACTAAGTTTCAGAACTTTGTCTGAAACTACTCATATACAGACATCATTTTAAAATCAAAAACATGTTCAGACAGATACATGTAAGTGGCACTTGACTTGTCTGTCGCAACATTGACTTTCTGTACTTTTCTGTTAAGTAAAAGAGTTTATCACACTGCACAGCAAAGTCCTTTAAAGCTAAACAGTTATGCAAGTACAACTGAATACTAAAAGAATAATTCAAAGTTAAAACAGAAAGGTCACTGGGAAATATGGGCTTTTAGGGAACCCTTTTATTAAGGCAACATTTTTCCATATGCTTGTATGATTTAGCTTATATCTGAAGGAATAAAGATTTTTTTTATCTTCTAACAAAAGAACCAAGTTCAGGTTCCAGATCTATGTTACACATTTTCAAAGTCCATGCCAGACCTAGAGTTGTAACAGTCCTTTATGAAGAGTGCTATAAAATTTAATAAAGATGAAACTAAAGAGTTTTTATAAAAAATACTCAAAACTATAGAAAAAATATGTAACGGGTTTTGGGGTTTTTTTATCTAGGCTATAGAATTTTATAGCAAGGATAAATGTTTTATTAAATTACATATATAAAATAATTGTGAAGTAATTCTGTAGGACACTTCCATTAGGATGCAAATGAATTCTGAAATAATATGTACTTTAATTTTCTAGTTCTTTTTTTCTGTAGTCTTTAAACAATAAATTGCTTCTTCAAATAATAAATTATTCGTACTCACCCCTTTTTCAATGCTCCCTGTTTGGCAAAGAGTACCTTCAGCTGCTGGAATGCTGTTGGTAACACAGCGGTTACTTTTGCTGAGGCACCAGAGCTCTCTACACACTTCCTAGGAAAGAAGGCAGAAGCAAGTTGATCAGAATAAATGCCTAAAATTGCTTCCAGTCATCATACACATGTATACACAAATTTGTTTTGAACAGAGACTATTAAGAACTGGGCTGGAGAGGTAAATCTATAGACAGTTGTGAAATATTCTGGAGCAATTTCAAAGCCACCATATTTTACTGAAGAATATGCAAAAAAAAATTCTGGAAGCAACAGATTTTAGACTACAAGAATGTGTTTTTCACGCCTGCCATGCAAGTAATGTCTTATAGTTCCATTTTTCTTCATTAGTGCTTATACTGGGCTTAATATATTTTAGTGTTGCTGTAAAAGTAGTCTTCGGATGTGCTGTAGTATCTCCATTACTGTCATTATGTGCCTCAAAATTACATGGTAAGAGGATACTGTTAATTTTTAAATATCAAACAGCAACAATTATTTTTGTTTCCTTTAGTTAAAACCAAAGTTTCAGAGCTCAGACTACTTGCACTCCTCTCCCGTAACACTTGCTAAAACAGGGCACATGTATTTAGTACTAATTGAGCTAGGTACTAAAATATTTCCTTTAGGTTTTTTTAGATTTGCAGCTGGTATTTCATAAATTATTCAGTCTATCCTATTTCTCTATGTTGCCAGTGTTAAACAAACACAGGTTTTCAAACGATCTTTTTTCCTACCAGATTTTCCCATTTGATTTTGCACATTTACTCATTTAAATTAAGCCAGTTCTGTTGACATTGGAGATTCATTGTTAAAACTATCTAAGGGTTGAAATTCATAATGTGGGCATGATCCAAATTTGGCTGAACATTGGAAATTTTCATAGTTGCTTCAGTTGCCCCTGGATTCGGCTACGTATGCAGAATGAAATCAGTAGTGGTTTGCTTTTACATGCAAATCTTTGTTGTATTACTTTGAGATCTGTGCAAGAGTTCACAACCTGCTTATAGATATTTTCTAAGTATTTTTTTATTTGAAAGATACTCAGATCTTTAAAATGATCTTATGATAGTCATTACTATTGCATTTTATTTAACTACTGCTTGAAATCATATCCTGCAAATAACCTTTGTATAGATTCTATGGCTGAACCTCAGTACAAAGAGCAAAAAGGAAAAGACAGTGTGAGTAAATTAAAGTTATTAGCGCACCACCCCCCCCCACACACACACTTCATTGTTCCTATGAGGAAATGAATGAATATCTGACACCTAGGCTATCTTTTCTACACACATCAACAGGAACAACTGTTAAGTTTTACCCTGAGATTCATGCTTCTTGCATTGTACTGCATATGAAAACAGATTTAGTTATACATTATTCACTAGCTGCTGCAGTAACAGTTCAAGAGTACAAGCTTTTCTTCAATAATGCAAAATTCTTCTCCAAATTTAAAAGCAGCTCGTGCCATTCTTGAAGGACTGTGTATTACAGTGTATTTCCTTTCATGATTGGTAGAAGCAAGGTATATTTTAAAAATCCATTAAAAACATACCATATTAGAATGGTCTGAAATGATGAAGAATGAGTACTGATGACCTCTAAAGTTTCCATCCCATTTTTTACAATTGGACCTAAGCTATTTTGTGCTATTTGGTGGGTGGCTCTATGAAAACTTAAGCGAATTTTTGAGCCTCTTTTTAGGAGAAATCTTCCCACTTGGAAAAGTATATCTGCAGCCAGTGTAAACTATCTTATTTTTCAGATTAGAATTTTTCATTGAAGAAATGCAAACAGTATAAATATTTACTTACTTAAATCTCTGAATAAAACATTTGCTTTTGCCACTCAGTTGTTAGAATTTTCAGATTAAGACACACACTCATAAATAAAGATTTAAAATATCAAATAGAACAGGGAAAGAACAGACGATACATCACAAAGATTCCTCAAAAATCGAACTAGATTACAAATTTCACAGCCGTTAAAGTACTAAGTTTCAACACTAAATCAAATTCATATCTAAATCAACCACAAATCCAAACTTCAATACAGTATGGTTTTTAAATGTTTCATGCATTGTTTACATCATCAAATCATAATTAAAAGTGTCAGACTGTGATGATTCTGCTTGTGACCTTGTGTTTATTTTGCATCTCGTCAAGTTCAAATGTTTAAATTAATAGCTGTGCTGACTTTGTGAAGTTCGGTTCAATATTCTGAAAAGCCAAAAAAATTCAACTGCATTAAGAAACACAGCTTTCAACTATTCCAATACAGACAGAAGCAAAAAATCAGATCTGGGTAACAGTCTGGATTTGAAAACATCTATGTTTCAGGGTGATTTCAATCCAGAATTCTGGTTTGTGCTCCAGAGTTTGTATGCAGAATTTCACTACTGATATGCCTACACAAGCATATCATCTATATATTAACATATAAGGGGAAGCAGTAATTAAAACATGAATTTCATTGCCAGGCTAATGTATCCACAAACAAGAGTAACTATTTCCTTCCAATAGGATTCTTTCTGTATACTCAGGCTTCTTTGTGGCACTAGACTCCTTCAAATCGACTGAACTAACATCACCCAGAAATTTTAATTCCAAATAAATAATCAGCTGAACTGTGCAAATTAATGGATATGGCACTCCAAAACTATTTTAGCCATTCATCTGTTTGCAGGATGATTCTAAGCATGTCAGCTCATCTCCTTACTCCACAAAATGAGAAAAATATTTTCCTTCTTCCTAATTTGCTTTGGGAGATAGAATGAAAAGCACTATATTAAAACTACACATTATTACTGACAATAGTCTGGTAGTCCTTATTCAGAACTTAATTTCAGC